GAAAACCCTAAAGACAGCCCTTTTCTATAGGATTAAAGTTGGCATTGAGATTCAATCATTGTTATAGTTAAATAGTTGAATCCGAGATGGCGCGCTGATGTGCATTATTAGCAATTCTTTATATAATTAATTTCTTTAAAATAAAATTGCGAATCTTATTGATAGAATTGACACATACTATGTCTAGAACAACAGAGTAAAAACGAATTACATTTTTATTAAACACTACCGGGACGAAGTCGCGGGCAAAAAATAAAATAAATAAAATAAAAGAAAAAGTAATATAAACTGATTATACGAATTAAAACGTAATAAATAATGAGAAATGAATTTTAATCGAATGATACTTTCTTTTTCTTTGAATCACTACACACGTTATAAAACTTACAACATAATAAACAGTTATTTATTCTCTTTGCTTCTCTACTTCTAATTAGTTTTTTTTATTAGATAGTTTATTTTGCTGTTTGTTATAAACGACCTTGAAAACGGATTGATCAATGTCATTAAAGCAATATGAAGTAAATATAAAGTGATATAATGTGTAGTGCTCGTTAAAACTTTTGCTTTGTTTTGTTTCATCTTGTTACGCGTGCAAGTACCAACAAGTAGACATAATGATGTCCGCGTGTTGAAATAGAGACACGAATTTTCTTGTACAAATAAATTGACGTTGACATAACAAATCAATACACAACTGTTTGCATCCATTTATTTTTTATTCGAAATTAGTTTACTTGAATGTTGATATTCAATATTGAATTAAAATTGGTGGTAATTTGAGTGGTAGTATTGTAATAAAATTATGAATACGCACAATTGTAGCAAAAAAGCATCGAATGCGTGCGTGCATCATGAAATTCAATGAATACACACGCTATGGAATGCAATAACAGAATATATTTTGTTGGCCATGTTTGTTGAACTTCTTCGTGGCGCGTTTATGCAGCGGCCAGCCGACCGGAACGCTTCCAGCGCGGTCTGGTTGCCAGGATATCCGGATGGTCGTCCACAATCCGATCTCTGGATCCATCCGGATCGAAACACAACATGCAACAAGCGCTATAAATGCAAGTTCCACTGCAGTTTTCACCAATAATCAAATATAAATACTTTAAAAAATTGTGTAAATGATATTTTTTAGTTTGTCAGCCAAAAAATAAAAACAAATAGAAAAAACAAAGGGGAAAAGCTTTTTTGTGCCATGTTGTATCATAACCGTATTTTAATGATGGTGGTTTATGATTGCGCTTTGTTATTACGACAGGAAAAGGGCGTAAAATATTCTGCAGACTGCAACGTAATCTAACAAAGCGGAAAAACAAAATTTATAATTCATATAAGTTAAATAACTTGTCATCTGCGGTTTTACATGAAAATTCATATAATACATTCACTATAGGCAACTTATTGTGTTTCATCCACACATAAAAGTTACGTAATAAATGTATTTTTGGTTGCCTATGTAGTAATTAACTTTATTTCTACAACAAATTCACATTCAAATTTTTAATCAACTGAAAGACACAATTAGCTCCATGGGAAATGTCTGTAATCACCACTTAAAGTGCTATTACAAATCGGTTTTAGATTATAATTAACGCGTTTTGTCGTTAATCGATCGAAAACGACCGCACTTGCACACACTTCACACTCCACTGCATCCGTTTCTGTTCAGTTCGTAATCAGTGAGAACAAGCGAACATGGCAGTTGCCACCCCACACGCAGAAACAATTCCAACTGGTGAATAACATTCCGTTCGTTATGTTCTCATTTATGTTTCGCTTACTCATTATCGACATGCATGTCTGTGCATAAACGCTGCACATTAAGTTGCCTGCTTGCTCTGAATATTTCGGCTTTCACGCTTCGTATCATTTCTGAACGTTTGTGAACGTTTGTGATTCAGAATAAAATTAGGAATTTCGATGTGTGATGGATATCTAGTTTTGTAGGTGTGCTGATACATGCGATTTTAATTTCTAATTTAATTACTACTCAACCATCGAAAAGCGTTATATACGACGAGCACTTTGCAGTGTACTCTATTTAATTGCCAGCGCTAATTGGCGCTTTTTACTGTTGCTAAAGCAAATAGAGCGGACATAACGTATAACATGCACGATTCTCTTCCATATTCAACAAAATTATTAACATAACATGTGATCAAGCGACAATACTTATGTTATGCTATGTATTTAATGTGTGGTGTGTATTGGGTTGCATACAATACATCAACATATACGAAATTTATTGGCTAACATATTCAGAAAAGTTTTTTATATTTATATATTTTACAATAAAACACGTCGTGAAATTGTTTTCCCACACGTACGTGTTTTGTGTTATCAATTCTCCAATGTCGTGTGCGCATTGGCAGGAATTAGATTAAATTTCGAAAAATACGTGACACGATTGACAAGGGTTTTTACGTCGCACACAAGAGGGGAAAACCATTCGGTTCGAACAATATTATCCGTGATAGTCATTTCATGCTCTCGACTCGCTCGATATTTTCACCATTCATGTGTGAAATGAAGTTGTTAACCCTTTTATCAAACATCTGGACAAAGTGTACGTAATGATTTTTAGACATCAGTCAATCAGTTGTGATTTATGATTTTTTGAAATTAGTATTCCAGCGAACGTTTTCCTTTCATTTCGATTTTCTCTTGTAGAAAACACTCGGAAACAAATTGATATTTACTGCATGAAGTATGCGTATTGCAATCAACTGTGCACAGTAACTAAGAGTGTGAATTGTAATCCTAATCCAATGGATTACTGAAAGTGCCATCGATAAGTTTGTTTGCTTCGTGCGAAAGCTTTCGTAGAAATGCACGCGTACGAATTGAATTAATCGTAAATGCAGCGACTGATTTTCATTTAATTAACCTAATTGCATTCTCAATTTCTCAACGTCAATATATAACTGCGTGCATTCTACAATCTACGTTGGAATCAGACTTAATTTCACTCAGTTTTGATGCAGCTAGGATCAAATGCACTGCGAGAATAATATAATAACAATAACAAACGTTCTTGTTGAGAGAATTTGCGCACTTAAATTTGAATTCGTGAAATATGAATGTTGCAGGAAAAGGATATGCAATTGTTCGCGTTGGTTCATTGTGTCTGTTATGCGTTTATGCATTCATTTCAATGCGTTTTTCTCAGTGCATTTTCCAGCGTATTATTTGTTACAATTGTGTGCAAATTGTAAAGTAAAAAATTCACGACGATGGGAAATGTTTCAATAGGTTGAAATATAGATAGTTTTTATCTTTCAATGTCAGTAATTAATCTAGAAACATAGAAAAGTTTAACACTTGAGACAAATTGAATAAAAATAAATTTTATTTTGTTTTTTGTTGTTTTTCGGCGCATTTTGAGGTTTTAAATGCACAAAAAGCTTTAAAAACAATTTAATCTTGTTTGATATGAATAAACAAATACAAACAACAATATCCATTGATTGTTCTCTGAAATATGTGTTTATAAATCGTATTATATCTGTGATGTCCATAGACCGGAACGAAAACGATATTTTCTTCACGCTTCATTTTTTTTCTTCTTTTGAATGAAAATTTTCTTTTCTCCGCGCGTGTTTCGTATACTTATTTATAATCGGCTTGCGGTTGTCCACAGCATCATTGCGTATATGCACAAAGGATAAAAACGAAGTACACTTTAAGGTTAGAACTTGCAATGGAAGCTGCGCAGCAAATCCGCTTGTTGTTCGCGTTGTTTTCCGGCGTTCATGCGATATTTTCGTTTCCCGTTAGGCGGCGCAGCCTGGGCTTTTATCATTGTGGAAATTCCGCACGGATTTCCCATTCATTCGGCACGCCGTGCCGATGCGGCACAATAACAGCAAGGGGGCGTGGAGAGGCGGTGGAAAATAGCAAAATGGAAATAAGCCGCCGCCGTGTTGCGCGGAAAACGATGAAAAGGCGAGAGACCTCGAACCGGATAAATTAAAACTGCGCGAAGAGTACAAGCTGAACAAACATTTATCTACAACAAATATCGACAACAAAAAAAGCATTTAAGCGCAAATAACAAAAAAAAAACTAAAATCTCAAAATAAACAAAAATAATTTTTACTTGTTATTGAATTATTTATTGTGTTGAAAATGAATTTATGGAGACAAGGTGTATAATAATAGGAAAACAATACACGTGCAGCTAAGGAGGTTTTGATAGCGGAAACCCTTGGGCAAACAAATCACAATGAATTTACACTCGAATTATACAGAACTTTCTTGTTTGTTTCTTCTGTGGCGGACATGAAAATCACAAATCACGCTAAATGCTGAGGTAAGACAATTGCAAATAAAGTAATACTTTAGAAGAGAGTATTATAACTTTATTTATGGCCACAATATTTAATCATAAAATTATAATGAAAAGCTGAAACATGGGGCTCGAATAAATATAATATTTAATATAATATTCACGGTATGCTATAACTTGACTAACAAAAAGCTGTAAATCACGTAATGTGCATGTAATATAGGCTATTATAACCTGGAAAACTAAGTTTATGTTTAACAATTTAGAATACGTACGAAAATTGTGTTTTATTTTATTATTTTTGTTTTTTAAAGTCTTTTTATGCAATTTTTATGTTAATTTTCTTTAAACTTAAATTTTGCAATTAATATCTTTATTATTAATTATAATATTTTATTATTGGCAAAATTTATACACCTAATATATTTTTGCCGATATTAGTGGGTATTAAAATATTAAACTAGTTTATTGTGCACTAAAACTCCCATTAAATGAAAATTCCTTACTAATGAAATAGTTTTTCCAATATTTCCTTAAATCTTTATCTCCGAGTGGAAACTAATTAAGAAATTGTACATTTATGTTGAATGTTTTATGTTTTTGCTGCCAAATGTTGTCTGTTTTGCTTTATTTATTTTTAGCTTGCTGTTTTTTATTGTTTTTGTTTTATCGTTTGCATTTTTTTCGCATGGGTGTGTTGTAGGTCGCCTGAAGGCCGGGCGTTGCTTGTTGTTAGCCGGCGAAGGATGCGAACTCCTGGCGCGTCAGCGATTACAACCGCTCGAAGAATGCGTGCGGGAGCCGGGAGCATGTCCGCTTTCACCGTCGCCACCCTCCGCAGAACGCGTGCTTTTCGTGCAAAATTTACCTCATCCTTCATCAGATCCAGTGGATCCAAATGTTAACTATGACGTTGATGCAAAACTAGCTGCTAATCATTTATACAGGGTAAACAGGGTAACCAACTGTGATTTGGATCAAAGTGAGTATTAAATTGATATATAAATTAAATTCAGTTTGGGTATAAGACTGGCTTTTGTCCACGACATAGTTTTTAGTAATTAATGTTTACTTTGCTATTTTCGCGACTTTTGCGCCATCTCTAAATGATTTATTCAACTATTACTATGAATGAATCGTATTTCTTTATTTAAGGCCCTTTATATCATAATTTTTCGTAATATTTATTCGGCTATTTGGGGCGAAGACGAATTCAACAAATCATAAATCATGAAAATCTGTTCACTCGTTCTTGAGTTATAAATGATGTAACTAACGCTACTTGGTTTTATATAAGTGATAACATGACAAGAATTAAAGAGAGTTTTAATTTATACATTGAAGTTAAAAATACAAAATAATTTAAAAGAAATTTTCTGTTTTTTCTGTTAATTTCCTAACAAACCGAAACAAATTACATATTTTGTTGCAAATACGCGTTGTAAACCACTTCATCCATCATGCAAATTGTACCTACACTAAAATTCTATGCATGATGCATCATGCATCATGTTTCGACACGACGCAGCCTTCGACAGCACATCATTTAAACTCCAGTTTCAAGAAAACTTTAGTCCTAACATCACTACTACTCATACTCAGACTATTACTAGTGGTAAGGTAAACGCAACTTAAGAGTTCAGAGAATATCGCATAAGCTCTCGGCATGTGTGACAAAACGTTAAACAGACGTGCAAATTGTTAAAAGCTGTCGAAACGTTACAATGAAGACAACGGTACAATTTGCACATGTTTAAGCATTATAGTCACAACACGTAATACTTTATAGTACGAGTATTACATAATTAACAATTTTATTATTGTCAAACTGTAAATGATCTTAAAAAGGTTAATTATTAATTATATAATATTCGTATTTAATCATAAATGTTTATTGCGCGAAATTTCTTGTGTTTATATTTATTTATTACTTGAAAATTTAAACTGTAAACTCATTTTTATTTTTATTCTCTGGACAACAATCTGTTGGATGTTGATGTAGATGTAGTTGTAGTGGGCAGGTAGAAGATTATAAAATTGGATAATTGTAATGCCTACAACGGGAAATCATCATCTCAACCATCGAAAATTACTATAATTATGAAAGTGTATCAAAACGTTGGTACAACATGAAGATTGCGTACCTACTTAATTACATACGCATTTAGGATGATAGGATGAAGAAGAAGAAAAAATTGAATAATTAAGTTAAGTACAGAAATTAGGTATTTACTTGCACTCATTACAGTCGAGTTATAACATCTTCATATTAGTATTATTAGTGTTAGGATTAATGTTGGCGAAGGAGTAATTTTACTTTATACAGCGGTATATTAATATTGTAGGCACATTAGCTACATTTCAAAAATGTATATAGTTGTTTTAATGTTTAATTTGAGCGTGAGGGTAAATTTATATTTTTGGTAGATTTATTTCATTTTCTAACCATTGCATAAACAGCGCCGTAGGCAACTACGTAGGCATATGCTCCACCTCGTGACTAAAGCAGGTGATTAAAGTACTTTAGTCACGGCTTTGCCTGTTCGTATTTAAAATATCACTTTTTATCCCTAAACCTTGGAAAAACTGGCGCTTTAAAGGTGGAAGTAGAAAGAAATATTTAAAAAATTGACACACAATTATCAAATGTGATTTATCTTGGAAGCTTTTACATACGAGTATACTTACTATAAGAGTTATATCAGTTGCTTATATATGCCACTAGCGACCTCTTTTAGAATAAAAAAGAGACATGAAGTGTTTGGATTAAATTTTAATCTGCAATAGAAAGTTAATTTTCATTTTTCTTATGTGGATGACACTTTTATTGTTGCCATTTAATTAAGTCTTGAGTTATAAACATGTCGCCCGATTGAGATGTGCGCGTAAACGAATAAATAAAACTATTTGTCATATGTGTGCAGCGCAGTGACAACCGCCAACCTCCATATGATTATGCGCATTATTATATGGAAAGTATCATCCTCAAGCTTTGCGCCAAGAGACCAGATTAGATATTATTGCCAGTCTTTTGTATTTACGCATGCGAGCGACGATTAGACCCGTGGGGCATTGTATGCGTGGTGGCATTGTCGGAATTAATTGTGCGCTGTTGAAAATTACCGCTCTATTTTTCAACCAAGCGAGTGCAATGTATAATAAAATAAGAAAAAATGCACTTATAACTTTCATGTGGATATAGGTATGCAGAAATAATAAAAATATCAAATTATTTCAGGTAGCAGAATACAATTGGTATATTTATGTGAAGAAAGTTTTTTTTTAAGTCAAAATATTAGTTTTTGCATAACCTTTTTAATTTTTTTTGTTAACTTGGTTTAAATTAAATGTAAATATTGCATGTGCAATGAGTTCATGCAAGGTTTTCATAGATGAATGATTTGTGCAGTAAATAAATAATCAGAGTGGAGCAAGTTGCGCACGAAATGGCAACCATTCACATAGGAATAATCAGTCATCGTTCTTATTTTTATTCATTTACATTTTAATTTGGTTCAAAATATAGTAAATTAGCTTTTCTCGCGACATTCGCACCATCTCAGTTTGAATTATTTAACTATTGTTATGATTGAAGCTTTATTTAACTTTTATTCCTAGTTTTACACCTTGAAAACAATATTTATGACATTAAAAGTAGTCTATTTGCTTTTTCTTAGTACGAAATATTTCCGTACCAAAATTTATTAAAATTGATTCATTAGTTTTTGTGTGAAAGCGAAACAAACAAACAAACTCACTAATTTATATGCAAAAGTGAACATTGTACCATATTTTGATACTGTTTATAAATATCTTTTGTTTTTTTTTTCTTCAATTTTTTGAGAAAACCAACAATGATTGAGTCGCGGTACAAATATTAAAATATTTTTTTATTTAATGTACTCGAATTATTTTCAGTTTATATTTATAATTGGATTAAAATTGAAATTACTATTTAATAAATGGTCCTTTAATGTTAAATCTAAATTAAATGCATGGAATTGCTCCAATTATTATCACAATATGAAAATTAAACAGCAGCATGTTTTAGTTATTACTCTTGAACAATACAAATGTTTAATTAAATATATCTGCGAGTATATTATTAATGGAAATCCACGAATGGAATGAATGTGGTGCACGGCAAACGCGATTGAAATTAGCATTAAATTAAAATTGCACCGCGGCAAACAGTTTCCACTGTTGGAATTACCTACAAACGTACAAACAAATCTGCACTGTTCCAAATTGAATTTCAATATTTTGTACGACAGGTCGGGGGAGAGTAATTGCAAATCTCAAATTACCAACAACTCAGTATATCAATTTTCAATCCATATAAAATTATTATGTTTTCGTGATAAATTACTTAAAGTTTCCTTTGATAAATATTCTCCAGAATATTAATTACTAGCTTTTGCTTTGAACTACGTCGCGTATTTTATTGTAAAATTTTAATTAATTTATACTTTCTTGTTTTTTCTACCTTGAAAGTAATTTAATTTATATTTCAAAACTAGCTTTTGCCCGAGACTTCGTCCTGGTGGTGTTTAATAAAAATGTAATTCCTTTTTACGTTCATGTTCTAGACATAGAATGTGTCAATTCTATCAATAAGATTCGCAATTTTATTTAAAAAAAAATTATAAAGAATTGCTAATAATGCACTTCAGCGCGCCATCTCGGATTCAACTATTTAACTATAACTATGATTGAATCTTAATGCCAATTTTTATTCTATAGAAAAGGGCTGCCTTTAGGGTTTACCCGGCAATTATTCGAATTTTTCTCGCCGTAAAAAACATCCTTGGACTTTAACGAACCTTTTATAAAAAGAATTGGCCAAATTAGTCTAGGCCTTGTTGAGTTATGCTTACTAAAAAATTTTGCAATTCATTTTTATATTATAGAAGATTTAACACCCTTTAAATCACAATTTAATATATTTTAATATTTATTCTGATATTCGGATCGGAGACGAATGCAACAAATCATAGATCATCAAAATCTGTTCAGCCGTTCTTAAGTTATAATTATTGTAACTAACCTGACTATGTTTTAGTTATATAGATGTACAACTTTAGCAATATGTATGTCGACGGTGATTATTAATCCTTGATGATTATTAACATCAACTTCCTGTCGTTATCCGCATGCATCCAGCTTCATCTGTTTGAATCTTTAATTCGTCCTCCAGTAAATCTTACTTTGATCTTTATCAAGAAATATTGCACTGTATGAATATATATCTGCATCTTGCAGATGTGTATGATTATTACTATTTTAGCACTATGTGTTCATTAGTGTGAATGTTCAAGTAAAGTGCGGCTGGAAGAGAGTGATGAATTCATTATCATAGTCATCATCTTGTTACTTGAGAGTATGTTGTTCTTCTCTTAAAGTTAAACTTAGAGTGGATGTGTGCGTAGGCGACGACTAATGCATATTGCAGAGGCAATCTTGCAGTTTATGACTTTCAATTTAGTTTATGTGCGATTATCATGCAAGATCAAATCTTTCACGGCTTATTTCAACGTTATATTTAATTTTATCTGAAGAAAACTTGTTGGTTTCAAATGCCACAAAATATTTTTATTTCAAAACTCTTTAAAAATATATTTTTAGATAATTATGCACGGGAAATAATGCTAGATTGTATTTTGAGGGTATTTTGAGGTTATATAATCAAATTTTTAGGTTATTTAATATTAAAAATGGTTGAAAACGATTTTTTTCTTTTTATTTTGAAATCATTTTACTTTTTACCGTCATTCAACAACTATTGTCGATGGTTGATTGTAAATTGAGCAATTAAACGAACATGGCTTGCGTGCCCCTCTATCCGTCAGCAGAAACGGAAAATAATAGCATTAATAGCAGTCTAATTAAAAATGAAAAAAACGGTAAAGCGCGCTCCGTTTCTCCGATTGCTGCACACAGTAAACTAAAACATTGCACACACACTCAAGACAATATATTCAC